GACGGCTCCCGTCGCAAAAATGAGCCGAGAGGATGCAATCATAGCTGCGGCTGGTATCGAGACAGTCCCACCCACCGATGAGGATGATGGGTTCGGACATTTCGAAGAGAGTGCGGATGAGGAGCACGCGGGTGTCGCCGGATCTATCCGATATCGTGCGGATGGGGAACGCGCTCAAGAGGAAGGAACCGGCGACCCCGAAGCTTCTGAGAATGCAGAGCCTGAAACGGACTCGTTGGAGCACGTCGATCCCTCTGGAGAAACGGAAAGGTTCGATCGCCCACCGGAGGGAGATCCCGTACCAGACGGAGCGGAGCCTGCAGGTGTTCTACGCGCGTACCCGGAACGGTTCATAGATCTAGAGGGCAAAGAGCAGGCGGATCGGGAAGACGACTATGAGAGGATTTCCGATTCGGACGTCGGCGACACCTCTTCGGAATCCGATGCTGAGAGCCACCTTCCGTCGCCCGTCGTCACCGGCCCGGGGAGAGATCGGGGCAGTCTGGTGCGGTGCGTCGGCGACATGGCTGCGGCTGCGATCTTGTATGCTTCGGAGCAGCAAGACGTGGTGTTCTTCGTCACCAACATTCCGCCCCGCGATTTCGAGGCGTTTGACGACTCCCTGTGCGTGTATCGAGTGATCAAGCCGGGGGAGGTGTTGAAAGCTCTTCCGGAGTGGGCGTGGAGGACGGGAAACCTCTTGTTTATGGGACCGACGACTATGTCGCATGCCGTGCGGCGTAAGCTGCTCGAGATGAAGATCGCTGGGGCGCTCGTGTATCCAAAGGTGTCTTTCTTCTTGTGCGGGCCCGAAGCGGACGACAGAGGCTTGCGTGCGGACCTGGATGCCGTGATCTGATGCTGGGCGCTACTTTCCGAGGATGTCGTTGGCGAATATGCCCGCCAGGCTGAAATAAAGGCCGTTCGTGAGGAGGTTTCCCATCGGCTTTTTGGTGAGACGTAGCGCCAAGGTGAGTATCACGAACGTGACGCTGAAGCCCAGAAGCCGGTCGTAGTGCACGACCTTCGTCTCGTCGTAATAGCGAGCCACGTGAACTATCACGACGTACGCCAGGACCGCGACTAGAACGTCGGTGATCGCCTTGAACAATTCTTCCGACAGAGGGATGCTCGGGCGGTCCTTCGTGGGGGCGGGGGCCGCGAGGTCTTGGGTAGAGATCATGGTGGGATAGTGTAGGCGCGTAATTTATTCGGAGGGGCGCCCGGAAGAAATCGGAGTCATATATCACAAGACGATGACGGTGCACATGCTGAGAGAGATCTCGCAAAAGTGCCTCGTATTCGTGCTCTACACGGCCTGCTTTAACTCGAGTCAGATCATCATCTCGCACGAGAGCGTCATCACCGCATCCGCCATCATGTTGCTGGCTGCCAACATGGGTGCATCCGTGCTGACCGCCAACGTCATCTGCTTCCGCCTGGACCGGATGCTCGTCGGCCACTCCGTATCTACCAAGATGGTCATAACCACGCTGGCGCCGGCCGCCTTCATGGTGGTCACGCTGTCGTGCCTGAGGCTCGGCGAAACCCAGCTGCCTCTCCTGTTTGCCATCGGATACTTCTTGGGCGTGGCTACGGGGAGCCTCCTCCTCGCCATGATCACCGCGGGAGAGTGGGGCTGACGCTGAAAATATTTAGGTCTGCAAAGGGAGCGCTACATGGATCTAAGAGAGTACGCCAGGACAAAATTCTCGGAGATCTTCGGCGTTTCCCGCGGCTCGTCGTTGGTGGTCAATGCCGAGAAGGGCGTGTACAATTATACCGTTCAAACGGCTCGCGCCAAGGCCATCGCGTGCGACTGGTCCCATCCGGGTTTTAAGACCGTGTACAAGCACAAGCTGAAGAGCCTGCTCGGGAACCTGAAGAACGACAAGAACCCCAACTTCCTCAGGCACGTCCTTACGAAGCAGATCGAGGGCCGCCACCTCGCGTTCCTCACACCCTCGCAAGTCTGGCCGGAGAGGTGGGTGGAGGTGCACGAGCGGGCTGCGAAGCGCTTCCCCATCGACGATGCCGCCGAAGTCGCGGAGAGCGCCCTCTTGAGCTGCACGGAGTGCCGTTCGAAGCGGGTCTCTCACTACTCCTTGCAGGACGCGAATGAGGAGACGAGGTTCTATCTGACTTGCCACGATTGCGGCAGGAGATGGAAGATATGAGGCGTCAATCGCGCTTCGTCTTCGGCGCGCCCCACCGTTCGTGTATGAAGGCGGACGTCGCTTCGAGCGCCTCGCTGAAAGCGGCGCGGAGCGGCTCAGGATCGGGGTGAAGGCTGAGCTTTCCCCCGCAGCGTGCGTCTGGCGGCAGCACCAGGATCCAGCCGACGTTCGAGATCGCCTCGAGCTCTTTGGCGGTGCACGCGATCCGGGAGAGTTTGTACACGTGAGCTGCCAGATCATCGAAGCCGCCCCCCGTGCTCTCCGGCCCGGCGTCCGTCACGCCCACGAAAACGGCCAGGCGTTGCTCCTCCGGAAGGTCGTCGAGCAGAGAGTGCGGGTAGTATGCCAGCAGACCCCCGTCGACGTAGAGGCGGCCCCCGATACGGTGCGGAGTGAAATAAAGGGGTACGCAGCAAGAGGCCCTGATGGCGTCCATCACGACGCACTCGGGCGACCTTTCGCAATCGAATATATCCAAGCTCGATGTCGTTGTGCACACGGCGGCGACACGGAGGACGTTGCCGGTTCGAGCTCGGAGCTGTCGAAATGTCATATGGCTGGACCCCGCCGCTAGGCTGTCGAACATCGTCGCCAGGTAGGAGAATAGTTTTTCCCCGTCATCCAGGCCGAAGCGAGTGAGCAGGTTGTTGATATTGAGGGACCTGAGCTTGTACGGAGGGTTGTCGACGATGTAGTTTAGGACATCATGCGCGCGCACCGTCTTCAGGGCGCCGACGTACGCCACTATGGCCCCAGCGGAAGTGCCCGCGAACACGCCAATATCGTCCCCTCCTTCTCGCTGGACGGACTCGAGCCCACCGAGCATCTGTAGCCCGCACACGCCGCCCGCGCTGAACACCACTCCCCTCATGTCTCGAGTATCTTTGGATTTTTTGGGTCCGGCTCGGAGCGCGTGAAGCGGATTATTGCTGCTACGGGCACGCGCTCGTGACCTTCGGGTCCTCCCACGAGCAGGTGCGCCCCGCTCTGGAAGTCGATGTCGGCACCGATCAGGATGTCCTCCACGGGGATGCATGCCTCGGCGGACGGCTCGCCGCGTGCCAGCGCGCCTCCTCCGAAGTCCCCGAAAGGCCCGGCAGAAGTCGTGAACACATCCGTCAGGTCCCTGCCCTCGGTCTCCAGCACCACCCTCGAGAAGCTGCGAATATGGGAGGGTTTAGGACCGGCTGCGCCGACGCTTCTGAGATCAGCAAACCGTCCGTGTGGACCCGCTTTCTGACGTGTACCCTGTACCGCTTCCCCCCGTGCCAGTAGTCGAGGACGAGGAACCCGGTGGAAGGGTCGTAGTAATCCTCGCACAGGGCGTTGACGCTCAGCACCTGCGCTCCCGACTCGAGCTCCCGAATCAGGGTGTCGGTGTTCGGAACCTTCCCGACAGAATCGTCCCAATAGAAGCTGCTCTCAATGTGGGCCAGTCGTCCGCAAACGCGTCCGGACGGCCCGTACGACCCACTGCATCTGGATCAAGAAGACGACGAGTAGGCGGAGGATGAGGTTCCCGGGCGCCATTCCTGTCAAGGGCCGCGAAATAGGGTGTGAAGGAGTGGGGCCGCGTTCTGGGGGCGTGGATTATGCCCGTTGGACCGCAAGGGAGATCCTGATGACGCCTATCTTGTGCGTTCATACGGACGACAGGCCCGATCGGAGGGCCAACGTGGACGCGCAGGCCGAAAGATACGGCCTGTCCATCGAGGTGGTGAGCTTCTCGAAAGACCGGGAAGATCCGGTCCGCGGCTGTTGCTCGTCTCACCTCCATGTGCTCCGCCTTGCCCGCGAGCGCCGCTACGAATCGGTCGTGGTCGTCGAGAACGATGTGGACTTCATCGCGGACCCCCGGCCGTGGTGGGGAGGGCCCAGGACGCTCCCGTGGGACGTGTGTTACCCCGGGGGAACCCTGTCGAGGGTCGTGATGGATGCCCCTGCTGTCCTCACGGATGTCACCGCGGACGCGATCCTGGTGGTGGGTTCGAGATCCTTTGAGGCGCTGGACCGAGAAATCTCCGACTCGACGGCAGAGGTCGTCGTACTGCTGCCTGGGATGGACGAGCACCAGGACTCGAGCGCGAGAGTGCGGCAGGCGTTCTGTGAGGTCGAGTCGTCCGTGGCCAATGCTTACGTGGACACTGCAGAGGGAGGCCGTGCGCTGCGACTCTCCGTGGCCACCTAT